TATGGATTATAGAGATCTGAAAAAAGTGAGTCCCAAATATAATTTTCTTTTGTCGCATATTGATACGTTGGTGGACAATACTGCGGGACATTCATGATTCTCATTCATGGATGGTTTCTTGGGGTACAATCAAATCAAGATAAATCCAGAAGATATGGAGAAAACAACATTCGTTACCATGTGGGGAACGTTTTGTTACAAGGTAATGCCATTTGAGCTCAAAAATGCCGGTGCAATATCGGAGGGCTATTGTGACCCTTTTCCACGATATGATGACCAAAATATTGAGGTGTACGTGGATGATATGATCGTTAAATCTCAAACAGAAGAAGAACAAATTCAAAATTTGAGGAAATTATTTCAGAGGTTGAGAAATTATCAATTGAGGCTCAACCCTACAAAATGTACTTTTGGAGTAACGTCATACAAGTTTTTAGGCTTCGTGGTCAGTAAAAAGGGGATTGAAATCGACCCAAATAAAATAAAAGCAATTCAAAATCTCCCGTCTCCTCGTACTAAAAAAAAGTGAGATTTCTTAGGAAGGTTAAACTATATTTCTCGATTTATATCTCAATTGACTAATAAGTACAATCCAGTTTTCAAGTTGCTTCAGAAGAATAATCATGGGTTTTGGAATCATGAGTGCTAAGAAATTTTAGAAGTAATCAAGAAATATTTGTCAAATGCTCCAATCCTAGTGGCGCCAGTTTCGAGTACACCATTGATTCTCTAATTGTCAGTATTTGAGAATTCAATGGGTTATGTGATGAGGCAACATGATGAGTCTGAGAAGATAAAACAAAAAAATGAATTTTTCGAGTAGAATTTTACTCACCCCTATGTAAGTTTGCTACCGCCACTCATGTTGGAATGGAATGAAAATTTTAAGACTCTGAATTTTGAATACAAACAAGGCATTTAATGAAGGTGCTATATTTTAGGAGACCATCGATATGGCCACGTCAGCAATCTATGGCATGAGATAAGAGCACATCTAGACCGTCGATTGAGATTTGATTTAAGGATTGAGAATAAAATTCTAGAAGCATCTCTACCCTCACAATATCAGCGCGTGGCCATCATAGTCGGAGACAGGAGATGGAGGAGGCATGTTACAAATAGGGTGAATGAAGGTCACACGTAAAACACTAGGGTTTTAGTGTTTGGTGGGTTTTTTGGAATAATTAATACACGGGTCATCAAAGAATAACGTATTTGTATCTTTGGATCTTATTTTTTTATTTCAATTTGGTCACTACATGTATATTGATTGTTTCTCTAAATTTTCAATTAATGCAATTCAGTTCTGTTTTGAATTCCATTTGTTGTAATTTTTATTAAACGTGTTTAATTATTATATATGGCTGATAATTTTTAAATTCTTTATTTTTAGTCATCAATTAAATCTTTAAACAGATACTTTAGATTTTAATTTCTTTTAGATTAGTTACTAATTAAAATTAGCTAATGAAACCCTTAAACTTTTAGACATTTAGATATAGTCACTCTTAAGAACTTGACTTTTAGGTCCTTTAGATTTTAGATTTTTTTAATTTAGTTATTAATTTTAATTTAAGTTTAGAATTAAACTTTAGGTTTAGAACTTTATTAATTAGATCATTAGATTAAATTAATTAGATTAGATTGAAGACCTTAAGATTAGGCTCTCTAATATTAAAACATAAGAAATAATTCTCTAAACACAACTAGAGAGTTGCTTTCTTCCTTAATTAAAATTAAATAATAATAATATTTTCTCTAAAAATCTTTTAAAAATATTTTGAGGATTAAGGAATTATAAATTCACATTCCTAAATTTCTAATAATAGGGACAATAGTACAATTGACGGTACCGATTTCGGGCGATGTTGGGTGCTAATCCTTCCCCGAGCGTAATTGACTCTCGGACCCAAAATCTCTTAAAACGCAAACCACTCACGTCTTTTTTAATTTTTTATTATTAAAATTATTTAAAAGGACGATTTCTTGGGTTTTAGCCTGCCTAATCCTAAAGGTTGATGATGACTAACATTTTCAAAACATTATTAATTTCCGTCAAACACACAACTCTCAAATCCTCGCCGAGCGGAAAAAGTCATCATGACAGTGTGAATTATATATTATAGACTTCTAAATTTTAAAATTTAGAACTTTTATATAGTTTTTTTTAAAAATAATATTATTTTAAAAAATTAAAAAAAATTATGAACTGAGTACACGTGACCTGAAAATACGGGTACCAGGGTTTTACGAGTGTAATGGGTTGGGACACGAGATGACATTTTGGTACCCGAAAGATTCCAAGTAGCTGAAGATATGGATACCTGTTTTGAACACCCCTAATATTATAAAAAAAAATTGAATAGATACTACCTTATAAACACATGATATTATAAAAAAAATACTAGGAAACCTAAACAAGTATATTTTAGTTTCCTCTCATATTGATTCGTGTTCTAATCCTACAAGGTCTTATAAGACATTTATATATAACCTTTGTTATGTGTATCAAATCTATAAACTTATTAGATCCAATCCAACTACTCTCCAATTTTTTTATTCTTTAGTATTCATATATTATGTGTTCAATTACGAAATTCAAGTTTCTTGAACGTATGACTACTATTTCAGTACTTGAAATATTAATCTTTTCTATTAGAATTGTTGAATTCATAATTGTTTGATAATTCTAATGTTATGTGTATACATTGTCCTGTTTGGATGAACCCAACTTGTGTCTTTTTATTGACTTGACTTGAGTCTCTCTCGATGTTAATGCTATCAAGAAAATCGGATTTTAGATATTTTACTTTACGTTTATGTTTTGCTTCAACGAACATTTTTCATTATTATAAAGGTGAAAATAAATTAGTTGTTTGAAGTTTTGTCAATAATTATAGTTAATTTATCATAAAATATTAAAAATATCTTTACATTAATGATCAAATTCAAAAAAAATAAGAGATCAACAATCTTTAGAATTTATAGTTAAAATTTCTTAGTTAACACCTCCTTATTTTTTTAGGTTATGAATTAGTCATTAGGAGTAAATTTTCTTTTTATCTTTTCTAGATAATTATTGTTTAAAGAAAAAATAAAAATTAAAACGGAAAATATCACTTTTAGCTAAACTCTCATCATATTAAATTTCTAATGCTCTACTTACAATCTTTCTTTTGCAATTTCAATTTCAATTTCGTTTTCAAATCTAAAACCCCGCAATCATGTTAACTCTGATTGCTTATAAAATATTTTTATTAAATTAATTACAATGTAATATATGTTATAAATACTTTTAATTATTTGATAATGAACACTCAATCACACCCCTACTATAATTACTAGTGATCGAACTCGAAACTTTTAGAAATAATAATAATTCCTTTAATCGCTGAAGTAATTTGGCTTGTGCTTATAAAACACAATTATTCTTAATCATTGTGAATACAACACTACTCACTGCTATCTATATAATATTATTTTGGGTAAATTATTATATTGATATCTAAATCTTACTCTCTCCTATTTCACTCATTGTACTTTAAATCTTTTCAATTTCCTCATTGAACTTAATACATTGGGGGTTTTTTTGTCACTTGGCCGTTAAATAATTCACGACGTTAAAAAGAGCTCTTATATAGATGCAAAACATCATTTTGGTGAAATTTTTGTTTTTTTAAAAGGGTATCGTTTTTAATACCGTTAACTATTTAATGACGAAGTGAACAAAATAGGAGAGAGAGTAAAGTTCAATGACAAAAAACCCTAATTTATTAAGTTCAGTGATGAAATTTTTAATTTACCCTATTATTTTTTGTTGGATCGACACCCACCAATAAGAATTACTTTAAGGGTCTGTTTGATAGACTATAATTGGTTTTTTAGAAAATAATTTTTGTAAAATAGATTACCTGAAAATTATTTTACGTAAAATGAATTACCTAAAACTGTTTTACGTTTTCTGAAAAACAGTTTTCAGAAACTATTTTACGGTGTTTCGATGATATTGTGTAAACCATTTTCACTAATTATTTGATTCACTATGATTAATTTTATAGAAATTGATTTAAAGAAAATGAATAAAGTTCGGTTCAATTAGTATTTGAAAAGATCGATTTGATTAAAGATTAAAGAAAAAAAGTTTGGTTAATTCAATTAATGATAATTCAATTTGATAGTGGCTGAACCAAATGTTTGAACACGCTTAATTTTAATTATTAGTATTTTATTAACATAATACTAAATTATTATGTTAATATTAAATATATAAATTAATATTACTCATTATTAATAATTTAATAATATTATATTTTTAAAAATAGTAGATAATATTAATTATATTAATAATTTATTATATATTACTAAACTAAAAATATAATATCATATATTATTATAAAATATATGAGTATATATTAATATAATATTAAAAATATAATATTATTAAAATTATATTATATGAGTATTGAATATTTTAATAATTATTATTTCTATTAAAATGATATAAAAATGTTAAACTAATATTAAATAAATAAAATAATATTTTTTTAGTGCTTATACTTTTGAAAAGTTAAGAAAATGTTTTACGGAAATCGGATGAAAAATATATTACATAAAATACAAAGGAACTATAAAAATTAATTATATTAGGAAAATTAATTACAACTATCAAACACAAAAAAATGTTTTCCGTAAAATCAATTACAACTATCAAACACAGGAAAAATATTTATCATTAAATAATTAAACGACATTATAACATGACAACTTACATCAAAATGTTATTTTGAATTCTTAAAAAAATAAAATTTAGGTTAAAACGACATCGTTTTGATTAAAATACGACTATATCAGACGGAGTGACAAAAAAATCAATCTATAAAATAGTGAGTAAATTAAAAATACAACAAGTAAAATAAAAAAGAGAGTAAAATTCAGTTGTAGTTTACCCAAAATAGAATAATTCAAGTATTTTTTTAATGGTAAAAGAGAAAACAATCTAACTAATGTTTAGACTTGAGATATGGAGGTCCAAGGATACCTCTTTTCAACAAAGGAAGCATGACAGTAGGAGCGATATGAAGAACAGCAATAGCAATCTGAGAGTGGTCAGCAAGTTTAGCAAGCATATCAGTAGGTTTGTTAGCATCCCGCAGCACCCAATTAAAGCTGATCAACCAATGCTTTCCTATCATATTGCTGATAGAACGAACAAGGGGAATCGAGCTTGAAGACGCAAGGGGGACTTGAATGAGTTTAAGAGCCTCCATGCCGTTAGATTGAATCTGCAAAGCAAATTGAAGACTTGTGTGGAGCGCCCAGAGCTCGGCACAAAGAGGTTGAACAAAGCCAACAGTTTTTTTAAACCCCATAACCCAGTTACCTCTATTATCCCGAAGAAGATAAGCGATGTAAGCAATTCCAGTGGAGGGTGAAACACCGCCATCAACATTCAAGCAAAAGTCATGCAAAGTTGGAGGCGACCATTGAATTAGCCTCGTGGGAGTGTCAGTTGGAAGCAATTCCAGTGGAGGGTGAAACACCACCATCAACATTCAAGTATTTAAATATACTCCACATACTGTTGAAACTAACATTTAACTAAAAGATTTAATTAACACGATAATGATATTTTGAGAAGATTAATCTAGCAATTGGAAACTTTAAATAAAGAAACCGTCTAGCTGTTTCAAACAAAGTTAATTTTAATGGAACATTTGATTGAAAGAAAACAAATATAATGGAAACAAGCTAGTTATTTGGCACTCTTACACGACCAGTTTAATATATATACAGTTCACCTTATTTGTTGTACTATTTTTCAAATGCTTACATATCAAGAGGCCCGAACACATTTGGATCATCTGACTGTGCATCCCCTAAAAACGACTCCATATTTCCTCTTGTTTGCTGCTCTCTGGTTATCGGGAAGTTCCAAAACGAATCGGATTTCTCGAAGAATATGTAGAACACAACCGCTGATGCTAAAAATAGTCCTAAAAGCAGTAAATAGATCTGCCACTCTGCACACGAAAGACAAAAATAAGATTGTCATCCTCGTATTCATTTATATTGTTCACGTTTATTCCGGGATTATGTTACTTCGACTTTTCATGTTTCTTTTCAGTACCATCATATGATATATGCACCCGAGTTGGAGTATCATAGTTTGAGAGGGAAAGGAAGAGAGGAATACCTTTCCAGTCTGCAGGAACGTTTAGTTTTGTCACCATTGCTCCCCACTGATTAGAAGTTGTAAGAACAACCCTACAACTGCAACAACAATGGGAAATCAAACCCGGGTTATAAAATTCCGGGGAACCATCTGCCAAACTAGTACTTGTTTCCCTTAAACTTACTTTCGATTAGGACAGAACTCTAGCGATGTAATGGGTGTACCCAGGTGAAGCCTCTTGCTCCAATGGCTGATCTCCATTTTCTTTACTTCAACTACACAAATGTCTCCATCTTTGCTTCCACTAGGATAAAGACAGTTGAGAGTATTCATTAAAACAACATATACGTTGACGAGTATTATAAATGTAATTAATTCTACAAAACTTTCCCAAACATAATAAACCAGTGCTTGGAATGTGCATACATCCAGGCTTATGATACTCAGACTCGGATGTCGGTGTCAGGTATGTTCTAAGTTTTCTCGTGTACTTGGAGGATCCTTAAAGGGGTATATCTCCGTACCCATGTCAAACACAAGTACTTTAAGAACAATGAAGAACCTACTCGGTTCTCTTTATGTGAACCTTGACAAGTTAACATGGATAACCTGTATATTGAGCATCGACACACATATGTAGGTGTACACCCACACATACACACCACACACTTTCAGCTATAAATATAACCATAGAAATAGAGCTCTTAAATACACAAAGCTGTTTCCAGCACAGAATTCTACAGCGACAAAAACATGAATTGGGAATAGATTTGAAAATAAATCAAATTAAACCAAACCAGAAGAAAAGATGTGCATTAAATGATCTCAAACATGAACCATATTCGAAAGGCAAATCTGAATGCTTACAGAGCAAGATATTTTCCATCCAGGCTAACAGACATTACAGAAGCAGGTTTTCCGAGTAATCTTTTATGCCCAATTTTATTCCAGGTGCTTATGTCATAAACTGCAGTAAGTGCTTTAATTCCTGTCATAAGAAAGCATAAAAGTTTCATAAAAATGAAATAATAACAGAAGATAAATTGTTTACTACAAAACTGGAACATGCATACCTCTTTGAACAGTGCAAAACAAAAATGGTTTTGTGCCATCCTTGGAAAACCGGCATAATTCGATCTTTTCATCCTACAGATGAAGCATACCAAAAAAAAAGAAGTCAGAAAGACTAAAACTTGCAGCATTCAATGAAACTGATTGGTTAAAGAAATGGTACCGAGTTGCGAGTTAAAGTCATTAAAGGAACACCATCTTCTGTCTTCCATATTCTTGCAGAACCATCAGTTGATGTTGAAGCTAAGAACTCCGAATCAAGGCTAGAATGTGACAAACAAATCAGATCAAATACCAAAGTAAGGTTGGAAAAAAAAGATACGATATAATTCATGTTTATACCCAATACCGTAGATGCACATAAAGATATTCAGTCCATTTTTTAATGATTATAAGATAATTGATAAGCAAAGAAGTCTTATAACAGCCCATCTTGTCAATAACATTTCTAGATTGCATACAATTATTTGCATTTTTAAAAGGGGGTAAGATATAACTTTGAATAAAAATAATAATAAAAGGCCAAAAAAAAGACTTTCTGCACAATTACATACAAATAGGCTCAATTCCTACCTAAAATCCATGTCCCGAAAGGATTTATGAGCTCTTACTTCATCTACAATGATGCGTAGGGTTGGCCATTCCAAGATTCTAAGATGTCCATCCTATTGTACATAAGATAAGAGTTACCAAAATGGACACAAAAAATAAAAAATAAAAACTGACAAAATCTTGATTAAATTCCAGAGAACTGCTTACCACCCCACCAGTGGCAAATCTAGAACCATCAACACTGAAAGCAAGGCATTTTTGAGGACCAGCATCTAGGAGAGGAGGTAACTCTTTGGTGGACAGCTGTAAATGTGTTTCTTGACCATGCAACTCAAACAACCTGCGTATATAAGAGATGCCCCATTCTATAAGAACATTATGCCCGAGAATTATAGGATAGTGGCTAAGCTAAGTAAATGTTAGCTCATTGCTTCTCAGGTCACAATGTATGAAATCATGTATAACTATATAAATAAATAGACGATAGCCACCACTAGAAGAAGAGCAATTATTCAACCCCTCTTCTAAATGACACTCTCAAGTTAAAACAGAGAAAACATCACACTTTTCTAATCCAAACTGCTCCAAAGCAAAAAAGAAACCTTTTGCAAGCCACATCTTGACTATCCTCAAGATCGAAAAATTCCAAGCTCACTCATGTCTCTCCATGCTCTTACTTAAACTACTAAAATCAAAGTAAAGAAATGCAAAGCAGAAGTTACTCGAAACATACAAGATGTCATAGATTTAATCAGAAAATTCCTGTAATGATATTGCAAATCACACAACTTGTCAACCTCAGATTTGGTTCCAATATCATAAACAGATTAAACAAATTTCTTAAAACTCAACAACAGTGACACCCTAATGTCATTAGAAGCATTCAATAATAATCAATATAAAAACAAAATGGATTATTCAAAAGATTCCAATCTATTGAATTAAACAGATAAAAAAATAAGAGAGAGAGAGAGAACTTACTTGCAGCCTCCATTAGAGGTAGAGCAAACAAAACAATCTCCACTTGGGTGCACAGCAATGGTTATTGGATCACCAGCATTTTCCTCGAGGTCGTGCCTAGCCTGATATAACAAATATAAATATATAGAGATCAAGTCCAAAATGAATAATCTATGTTGTAGTTATAGAAAAAATAATATCTCCCTGTAGTGTTCCTCTTTTCTTAAGTAAGCCTGTTTTATTATACTAAAATAATTTAGGTTCAAGGGATAAAATTAAAGGCCAAGCACTTATTTTTGGTGCAATAAAAGTATAGGCTTACTCAAGTAAAATAAAATTATACAACAATCAAGACATTCAAGTAGATTTAATGAACAAAACAAGAAGAAGAAACCATAAAATTGTTTCTTTAGCTAATAAAAAAACCAATGAAAAACCCTAAAACCCTACTTTACCATGTACCAAAACCAAAAGCGGAAACCCCAATTCATAATTTAAAAGAAGAAACTTTAGTTTTTTGTACAAACCCAGAGAATCTGTTATAACGAAAAACAAGCTTACCAATGGAGATGAAGAGAGAGACGTGGCCTTGGGATCAAAAGAGAAAATCTCAATAGCTGAAGAAGAAGAAGAAGAATGACAGGTCGTTGTCCGACCCAACACGACCAAATTGAGATTTTCGGGCCGCCGAATCCATGACCCGCACGTGACGGACCCACCGGCTTCTCCTTCCATTGGTGAAAAGAGAAGAAAAAGCTAAGAATTAATTCAACAATGAGATCTTCTTCTTCTTCTTCTTTATGAAACTAGAGGAATTATAATGAAACAAGGAGTCTTATTAAAATAGAGGAATTACAATGTTAACAAAGCGTGTCTGGTTTCTTTTGGGGAAAAACAAAGTCAACTCCGGTTTTGGATATTCGCATCATCCAATATGATTCCGCGGAAACGGTGAACAATGTTTTTTTTTAAATCCAATTTTAATTTAGTTAATATCACTATTAAATATATTCAAATAAAAATGGTTATGATAAAGGTTGATGTGGTTTGTCTTATGAAATCTAGAATTAGGAGAGTGAATATAAATGGGTGTATTTCTAAGTTTGTTATGGATTGGAGTTGTTGTTTTAATCATAATGTTGTTGATAATGGGAGAATATGACTCTTTTGCATAAAGGATCTTAGTTTTAGGGTGGTGTAGGAAGATGATTTATCCATGTCTATTAGTGGGGATAACGGGAGTTGCATAGTGGTCATCACTGCAGTTTATGGAAGTAATATTAGGGTGGTTAGGAATAGTCTTTAGAGGTAAATAAGGGATTTAAAAGAGTATGTTGGGGACTCTCCATGGTTGGTAGGTGGAGATTTCAAAATCTTCACTTGTGCTGAGGAAAGCTTAGACCTAAAGGAAGTTAGCCCTTACGAATCTGTTGATATGGTTGAGTTTAAGGAGTGTCTGGCCGAGGTTGAGCCCATGGATCATCCTTACTTTGGTCCTCTTTACACTTGGTCTAATAAGCATGAGGAGACATTCTTAGCTAGGAAGCTTGATAGGTTTATGGTTAATGCTCAATGGTTGGTTGCTAATCCTGAGTCTTTTGTTGAATTTTTTGCTCAAAGAGTCTCAGATCATTATTTTAGGGTTGTATAGACTCACAGGGTGAATCGGGCTAATAGGCCTAAGCTTTTTAAGTTCTTCAACCGTTGGACCTCTCATGTTGAGTTTATGGAGATTGTTAGAGGCTCTTGGCATGAGGAGATGAGGGGTGATTCCATAGAGAGGCTTTTTGGTAAATTGAAAAAGTTGAAGGTCAAGTTGAAAGAACTTAATAGGAATCACTTTGATGATATTTCTGGTAGATTGTCTAATAAGAGAGTGCAGTTAGAGTAGCTGCAACTTTATAATCTTACTCATGTAGATAGGAATATTGAGGAGGAGAAGTTGCTTTAGGTTGAGCTTAGGGAATTAGAGGCTGCTGAGGCTTCCTTTCATAAGCAAAAAGACAAGGTTCACTGGCTTAAGGAGGGGATAATAGTACTAGGTTCTTTCATTCCACTGTTATGGGAAAGAAGAAGAAGAATACAATTAGGATGTTATATGATAAAGATAAAAATAGGCTGGAGGATTTTGATAATATGTCAGCTGATGTTAAGGTGTTTCAGGTTGAGAAAATTGCATACCTTTTTGATTCAAGTTGGATTCTGATGTTGAAGGAGAGTTGATGAGAGAGGTTATTGATAAGGAGATTAAGAAAACCCTCTTTAAATAGGGCAATGAAAAGAGTCATGAGCCAGATGGGTATATTGCTTGGTTTTTTAAATATTATTGGGAGGTAGTTGGTTGTGATTTTTTACTGCTGTTAGACAATTCTTACTGGGACTGACCTCATGCATGCTTTCAATGCAACTGCTATTTTCCTAGTTCCCAAATCCCCCAATGCTTGTAGGGATTTTAGGCCTATTTCTTATTGTTCAATCTTTTATAAAGACAACAACAAAGTTCCTGGTGAAGAGACTGGCTAGGTATTTCCCAGGGATGATTTCCTCAAGTTAGTCAGCCTTTATCAAATGAATGAGTATTGTGGACAATACTTTGTTAGCTCAGGAGTTGGTGAAGGGCTACTCAAAGAAGAACTTTTCCCCTAGGCGTGCCATCAAGGTTGATTTGCAAGAGGCCTTTGACTTAGTGAATGAAGAGTTTTTGAGTAATGTTTTGGCTGCTTTGAGATTGCCTGATGGGTTTAGAATATGGATAGAGGCTTATGTTAAAGCTTAAAGGTTCTCAGTGGTGTTTAATGGAAACTTAGTGGGGTATTTTAGTAGGAAGAGAGGTATGAGGTAAGGGGACCCACTGTCACCCTATTTGTTTATCATTGTGATGAATGTGTTATCTAGGTTGTTGGATACTGCTACTAAGAAGTGGATATTTAAATATCATCCCAAGTGCAAGAGAATCTCTTTAACCCATTTATGTTTTGTTGGAGACTTGATCATCTTTTGCAAGGGCTTAGTGGATTCAGTGGTGAGAGTGAAGAATCTCTTGAAGGTGTTCTATAGGATATCTAGATTGAAGTTGAATGTTGATAAAATTGAAATCGTTATGTGTGGTATAGATTATGAGGTCCTAAGCAATATTAAAAATGCTACTAGGTTCAATGAGGGTAAACTTCATGTTAGGTACCTTGGTATACCTTTAGTGACTAGGAAGCTCACATAAAAAGATTGTATGCCTCTGTTGGAGAAAGTTAGGGGTAAGCTTGCAGTCTGGTCTCATAAGAAGTTGAGTTATGGTGGGAGGTTGCAGCTTATCAAAGCTGTGATGTTTAACATTTCCAACTATTGGTGCAGACAGTAGGTTCTTCCTAAAGCTATGATCAGAAGAATTGAACAATTGTGCACGAGGTTCTTTAGGAAAGGAAGTGATACTCCTGCTAAGGGAGCAAGGGTTAGCTAGGGGCAGATTTACAGATTGAAGTCTAATGAGGGCCTGAGATTAAATGATTTATCTTGCTTGAATAAATCATACGATTTGATACTCATTAAAAATATCCTTGCGGACGAGGGCTCTCTATGGATGGCTTGGATTAAGGATTATGCTTTGAAAGGCCAAGATTATTGGTCTGCTGATTGTAAATCGAGCCACAGATCAGTTTTGAAGAAGCTGATCAAATTAAGAGGGGAGACTGTGGTTTTGTTTGCTGGAAGAGTGGACTGGATGAAGATGAGTTGCAGGTGGATTTGGGAGAGTATAAGGGACAAGAAGGAGAAAATTAATTGACAGAAGAAAATCTGGTTTGCCTGGCATGTACATAAATTTTCAATTGTGTCCTAGATGGTCATTTTTTATAGGATGCCTGCGAAAGATAAGCTTACTCATATGGGCATTATGGTGGACAGAGACTGTGCAATGTGTGGCTTGGATGAGGAATATATGGATCATATTTTTGGTATTTGCCCTTGTTCTTTTCGTGTGTGGAATGTTGTAATTCAACCTTGTAGGCTGAGGGGTTGGGATGAGAGCTTGAACTGGGTGATTTGTAACTTGAAAGGTCATTCTCTATTTGTATGCATCTTGAAGATTTCTTAGACAAACTTATTGTATTGTATATGGGAAGAGTGTAATTGAATTTTTTTTAGGGGAGTTGAGAGGCCCTCAAAAGTTGTAACATCCTCAATATCGGGTTAGTGACTAGATTGAAAAATTTCAGAAATTGGTAATTAAATTAGGATAATTGAATAATTCAATGATTTATTGGAATATATGATGAAGGTTATTTAGTAATTATGGAATGAATTAAAGGGTAAAATGGCTAATTGACAAGTAAGATTTTTATTTTTCCTTTATAAGAAAAGGGAACCACGTGGAAAGGGAGAGATTTCTCCAGAGTTCTCTTCTTCTCCTTTCTTCTTCTTCACGTGGAAGCCAAGAGCAAAGGTAAGTTTGATTTAGCTGTTGATTTCTTGAATTTTTAAGTTGATTTGAGTCTTTGGGGGTTATATAAGCTTAAGGAAAGCTTATATAAGTTTAAAACACCAAGAAGAGAGAATTAGAAAGGAATTTATATTAAGAGTTTATAAATGAACTTTTATTATAGAAAGGTTTTTGAAATTCTAAGGATGAATTTGACTTATCAAGGGTCTAATTAAGAAGTTAGAAGCAATAGAATTGAATTTGAAACATGATGAAAATTTAGTGTAATTCTTGAATTACATATGGAAAATACGATTTTGATGTTAAAGAGGTGATTAATGAATAGAAATGAGTTTGAATATGTGTATGTGAGTTAAGAATATAAAAGGGGATGAAATATGAAGAGTTGAGCTAAAAAGAAAGTGAATTTCGTGCTCTAACTGGAATTTCTGGGTTATGTGCATCGATGCACATTTAATGTGTACCGATGCACTCTCAAATAAATGAACATCGAATGCAATGAGTGCATTGGTGCATAGGGAGTGCATCGATACACCCCTCAAAATGGAAATATCGAATGTAATTTGTGTATCGATGCACGGGGTAATGTATCGATGCACGGGGTAGTGCATCGATGCACATGTTAAGGGATGCATCGATACAGTGTAAAATGTATCGATGCACTTCAAGGGGAAATAGAAATAGACATTTCTTTTGGTCTAAGAAATGATAGATTAGAGTATATCAATGGGATACTGATATGTATCAACGTATGATTATGTAGATATTGAATATGAACAAGTTCCGGAACGATTATCAAGTTAAGATTCGATCGAAAGAAATGAAATCATAAAAAGGGGATCGGAACTTAGTGAGGCCAAGGTGAGTGCATACTAGTGATCTGTAGTGTTTAATGGAAATGAGACTTGCAATGAGTCTATTTCCTAAAGTAATATGCATGAAGTCATGAACATGATTATGTGTTTGTTATGATTATATGTGCTATAGGTGATTATATGTATTACATTAATTGTATGTATGCATGATTAAAGATATTGATATGCTTTGTATATGCTATATGATTTGTGTAAAACATTATTATGTAATAATGGAAGAACATGAAATAAGTTATATGATAAAGACATAAAGAATAAAATGAACACGTGACATAAGCTACAAGTTAATGAATCATTGATATATATTTATATGTGAATATAAGATAACTAAGTATAAGTCATATTATATGGTATAAGTGATTACACGAGAAAGATTAAGAGACTCTATGAGGATAGTATAAATTTGAGAGCATAAACATAAGTAATGATACATAAGTTATATAGGGAATAATTATGTACTTAAAGGAAACTACGGTTTATGAGTTATAAAGTGGAGAATTACAAAACTTTATGAA